ATAAGAATATGCACATATACACTCGATTGCCAAAAACGTTGACACCCGAAAAAAATATTAGCAACAAGCGATGAGACCCAGCGGCTTTATGGGTAAAAATGTACATGATAACCTTGTATACATATTATTGCATGTGGCAAATGATAAAAGCCTCAACGTTTTCATGTAAGAAAAGAATGAACATCGACAGAGATGTTCCTGAATAATGGAAAGCCACAGAGCAAACATTTCGCATAAGGCCGTTGAATCCCATCAATCATGGATCCTGCTTTATAAGTGTCAACGTTTTCGTAATCGAGTGTCTGTTCGCTCATGCAAATGCTGTCTTTATGTGTGTAGTTTTTCAAATTGTTCTCAAATAAACACAATTTGGACTATTTGCTTACCATTCACGGTGACAGTAACACTCATGCTGTATTCTGATCCTAAAGAGTTATTGACCGCGCATTTGTAAACAAAAACTCCTTTACTTTCCAAAGTCTTGCTCCACATCCCCGAGACACTAGTGTTTAGAATGGCAGTTTCGTTCTCAAACAGCTGGTATGACGTCACGCCTGGATAAGCATTAGCTGAGCAGTTAAAGCTCATGGCTATTCCCCTACATGCTTTGTCGTTCATGGCAGAACTCATTAACTGAACATTCTCAGGTTTGTCTAGGGACAAAACATACAATTTATAAATACAGTTTACTTAACCTTTGTAAGCTACATATTACAAAGTAACAAAGGAGTCTCCCTCTTTATCTGCCTGATGCCGAAGCTATGATTAAACAAGCCTCTCTAAAAAAAACGTTACAGAGAAGGAAATCGATATACTTTGACAAATAAATACAAGAAACAACATGTAACAAAGGACAACTTTTGCATGTTCTTACACTGTACATCAATAGTTGCCGTTTTTGTTGCATTGCCATACTCCTTACTGGCTTGATATCTGTATTCACCAGCTTGAGTCCTGTTAATGTGTGTAACCTCCAACATGTGTCCATTGTGACGCTGGCCACCAGGCTTAATCCAAGACACTGTTGGTGCGGGGACTCCAGACACGTGACATGACAGAGTCACATTGCTACCTTCAG